AGACTCTGCCCAATGGAGACATTCCTGAGAAGTGCAAATGGTGTTTTGTCTTACAAAGACCAGTTAAAAGTACCCCGTTACCCAGGCAAAGGCCAGAGGATCTGTGACTCCTGCGTTTTTAGGAAGGCCTGGGAAGGGCAGTTGTTTAGCTATGTAATGCCATTTCCTGCTGGACATTAATGGGCATTCATTATGCCATTAATTTGTTATAAAAGCAACATACGTCCGCCATAAAATTGTTAAAAGCTACTAAAAAGTGTAAAGAAGGAAATAAAAGTTCATCAAAATCCCTTACTTTTTAAACCACAGTGCTGCTGCTCATGGTGCTGTGAAGGTTTCTGTTAAGTGCAGCCAAATAAATTACCAATTGAACATTTTGATGTATTTATTTTCCAGTACTTTTTTTGTGCCTGCTTTTATAAAATTAGGAAAACATACTACTGTGTAATTGTTTTAAACTAAAAATATGAGGAGCAAATCCCTGTAAATGGGGACTAAAAGGGAACTTCCTCCATCTGATAAAGGATGTCTTTGTAAAATCTACATACAGAGTGCATTTCCCGCTGAAGGTTAGGGAAAAAAGCAAAAATATCTGCTCTTACTACGCCTATTCAACATTGTGTGGCGATGCTAGCCAGTGCAATAAGGCAAGAAAAGGAACCAAAAGGCATGTAACTGGAAAGGAAGAAATAAAACTGTCTTTATTTGAAGAGCACATGATTTCTATGTTAAACATACTAGGAAATTTACACAAAAGTTTCTAGAACTAATGGGTATGTTTAGCATGGTCAAAGGAATCAAAACCAACATGCAAAAATCAGTTCTCTGTCTAGATAGTAGAAATGAACAATTAGAAATAGAAACGTAAATAGCCATTACAGGACCAGCAAAAATATGAAATACTTAGAGATGCATTTGACAAAATACCTGTGCACTGAAAGTGACAAAACATAACTTAGAGATATTAAAGAAGATGTGAAGAACTGGACAGATATACCATTCTCATGGACAAAAAGGTTTAGCATTGTTAAGATACCATTTTCTCCAGATTCAATGCAATACCATTTAAAATCCTAGCATGCGTTTTTAAGAAATATATTGACAAGATGACTCTGAAATTTTTCTGAAAATGCAAAGGACTTAAAATAACCAAACCAAAACAATGAGTATTGGAGGCCTTATAGTCTGTGATTTTAGGACTTAACGATAAAGCTACAGTGATCAAGGTGTTATGGGGTTGATGGAAGGATAGGCATGTAGACCAGTGGAACAGCGTAGACTCACACATATATGATCGTTTGATGTTTGGCAAAAGCACTAAGAAAATTCAATGGTGAAAATAGTTTTTACTCATGAATGGTGCTGGAACACTGAGACATCCATTAGCAAAAATAAAAAATTTGCTTCCAATCATATGTGAAAAATAGGAGGTATCATAGACCCAAAGGTGAGCATTACTAGTATAAAGGAGATCACCATTTTATGACCTTGAATTGGGCAAAAATTTCCTACAAAATCCACAAGAAACATGAGCCATAGGACAATGGATAGATTGGATTTCATCACGTTCGAAGCTTCTGCTCTCCAAAACATGCTGTTAAGAAAACAGGCAAGCCACAGATTGGGACAAAGGATTTGTAAGACACATCTCGTTTAAACACTTACATCTGGAACATACAGAAGAATATTATAACTCAAAGTGAGAAGGCAGGTGACCCAAGTTAAATCTGGGCAAAAGAGTTGAACAGACATGTCACCAAGTAAGCTGTGTGAGTGGCCAATGCACGTGTAGGGAGATGCTGGGCAACTGTCCTCAGCAGGGAACACAAATTAAAGCCGCAAGGAGAGCCAGCACACCCAGGAGTCTCGGCGAGGACTCAGGGAAGCTGTCCTCCATCAGGGGCGGGAACGCGAACTGGTGCGGCCACTTTGGGAGACAGTTTGGCAGGTTTCCACACAGTTAATCGTACACTTTGCAGAGGACGCAGCATTCACACTCCTTGGGATCTGCCCGAGGGAAGTGAAAACGTGTGCGTAGACAGACATACGGGTGAATGTTCACATGCCGCTTTGTCCCGCCAACCTGGGGGTGACCCAAGGGTCCACCCGCTGGGGACGGATGAACAGACTGTGGCACGCCCATTCAGTGGGCTCCTGCTGGGTGGCAAGAGGCATGAATCCAGGAAACTGCCTGGGCACGGAAGCGTTGTGTTACGTGAAAAAGCAGACGTGAAAGGCTCTGTGTGATCCGGCTCTACTCACGTGGCATTCGAGAAGAGGCAGAACTAGAGAAACAGAAAAGAGACCAGCAGTTGCCAGAGGCCGGTGGCTGGGGAGAGGGACGTGAAAGTCCCCTCCTGTCCCTCTCCCCACCACCTGGCCAGCTGGATGGGAGACAAAGGAGGCTCCATTTACCTCGATTTGTTGAACTGCTAGTGACATAGCACATTATTTGCTTGTTTGCTCCCCTTTCCTCAGTTACGAGAGTCTCCTCTTTATGATCACAAGCATCTCCCGTTTATCACTTGCTGGAGTTTGTGGTCATCTATCGCCGTGTGACAACCACCCAAACCTCGCGTCTGAAGACCAAGCAGCCTTTCACCGCAGCAGCCTTAGCTCGCGGGTGCCTGTGCTTCTGGGCCGGGGCCTGGCGGAGCCCGTTTGTCTGCTTCCGTGATGTCAGACTGAGTGGCGCGGCTGGGGCTGGAGGGTCCACTTCGAGGGCGGTTTTCCCACACGGCCGGTGCGTGGGTCCTGGCTGTTGTCTGGGCGCTTGGCCGAGGCTGTTGGCTGGAGGCCTGGGTTTCTCTGCGTGGCGCCCCCCCAGGGGGCTGGTTGGCTTCCTCACAGCGTGGCGTCGGGTTCTCAGAAAGGGTACTCCAGGCACAGGGCTCGACCGTACCAGCTTCTTAAAGCCCAGACACAGAAGCCTGCGCGCATCCCTGCCGCCGCAGAGCCCGCCTCTTCATGGGCCCTTATGCTAAAGTGCTTGCGGCCATTTTAAAACTGCTGCACTGAAAAAGTGTTTTGGTATTTTTTTGTTAATAAAATTATGCAAGATTTTTTTAGCATTATGATACTTGGTTTTCTCTCTCTTTTTTTTTAACCTCCCTTAGCGGAGGCCCTGGGGATTGAACCCAGGACCCCGTGCACGCCAAGCACACGCTCTACCAGTGAGCTGTACCTGCCACCCCCACATTTTGCAAGTTCTATGTGGGTGTATCCTTACAGCATTTTTCAGAAGTGGAGGTGGACAGAGTGAGTAGACCCCCCTCGTCCCTCTGCCACCAGCCCCTTGCCCGAGGGGCCCCCCGCTGGGGGGCTGGTCTCGCGCTGGGCGCATTTACCTGGCATGCTCTCAGGTGGCACAGCCATCTCCGGTTTATTTTGGCGCACACGGGACGGTGCTGTGTGACTGCTCTGTGACTCGGTCTTTTCCCTATGCCACGTCTCGGCTGCCTTTCAGTGTCAGGCCACCTAGACCAGCCCCCTCCTGCAGCCCCTGCAGAGTGTGTCGCAGACGAGCCTTGTTCCTTGAGCCCGCTCCTGACTGATGGGCACTTACCCGGTTTCCAGTTCTTTGCTGTTACAGGCGGCACTGCCTTGGGCGTCCCCGCACCTATTCCAGCCTCTCTGCGGGATGTAGCCCCGGGGGGAGGGGGTTGCCAGGTTAATGCCGTCCAGGCTGAGATGCTGCAGAACTGCCCCCTGCCCAAGGCTTCTCTCCCTCTGGCGTTTAACTTGAATGCCCAGGACGCACACCCCTTTGCGCGCTGCTTGGTTCCGTGCTGGGGGGGGCCTGTCTTTGCTCACTGCACGGAGCGTCTGCTCCAGGCTCAGCGCTCTCCTCCGCTGTGACGAAGGGGACACTGTCGTCCTCTCAGGGGACTCACTGCCGGGAGACGGCAGGGCCGCAGAAGCGCCTCCTGCCAGTCCAGGCTGCGGGGGCAGCTGGAGTGACCCGAGGCGGCGTGGCCCTCCCCGCGTGTGGTGGCCTCGTGTTCGCCTCCAGCCTTGTTAAGTGAAGGGGCTCCTGGCGACACCACTTTGACTTGTCATCGTAGCTCTTGAGGGAGGGAAGGCGCCGAGACCTGCGGTTCAGTGCCGCTGGCTCCCGCTGCCATTCCCGGCTTCCCAGGAGAGGCAGGGCCTGTTACTCTGCCCCGCTGATGGCAGGAAACCGAGGCCCAGGGTGGGGGAGCCACTGCGGGTTTGGGGTGCGCTGGCAGTGTCTCCATCGCATGTGTCACCGCCTGTAGT